TACCAAATGGCTTTAGTCTTTTGTAGAGGTGAGCATGTTAGAGAGGTTAATTTCATTCTAGTGGTTATTCATGTTCTTAGAAATACCAGTCATTTGCAGAGATAGCCATCTTAGAGAGGAATTTGTCATCAGAGGGTTCATTGAATTTTATGTTATTTTATTTTATTTATTTATTTTTTTTTCCTGTGTGTGCAAGATTTTCATTCTAAAAGCAATGTTTTATTTTTTTAGATTTAGAAAAAGGTGCTCAATATATGGTAAGAATTGCTGCCTTGTCTGTTAACGGTAGTGGTCCATATACTGAATGGAAGACTGTTGAAACTTACTACAATGATTTAGAAGGTAGGATTTTCTTTATTAAATTTCAATTCTTTTTCTGAATCAAATGAGATTTTCATTCCTATTATACATAACTAAGTATTTGGAAGTTAAAGAAACTTTTGAAGTTGTTTAATGTACACTTACAAGAAACATTTTTTTTTCTGTGTGTGCACTTTATTTTTGGAACAGATTGTAAACTAAGCAGAATCATTTGGGTAATTTGTATTTTTCAATTTTAGAACTTAAAGTCCCAGGTAAGCCAAGTGCATTGAGAGCCAGACCTTCTTCTGATTCCATATTTGTGAGCTGGGGACCTCCTCATGACCAAAACATTGTTGTACGAGGCTACAAAGTTGGATGGGGAGTTGGTGTTGCTGACGTGTATTTTGTATATTTGGATGGAGAACAAAGACATTTCAAACTTGAAAATTTGCGTAAGTGTTCATCTTTTAATTGTATAGTGTTTTATTTTCATAAGTACAGGCAACTTTCCTGTATATTGTGCCATTACAATTCAGTAATTTAGGAATTTCTTCTCTAACATTATATTCCTACAATATAGTTTCGGTGCTCTACAAAGAACTAAAGATATTGCTGATATTTCTAAGAGAATCATCAGAAAGGGAATAAAGAAGAAATAATGGATTGTGCTATATTGGAGCTGAATAAAGCAAACAAAAAATAATCTACTTCTTTTTTTCTTTTTAATGTTTTCTTGCCTCGGTCATTCACAATCATGTCATCCTGTTAAACATAGTTTTTTATTTTCTCTTCTGTACATTTGTCTCTTGAGGTCTTCAGAATTTTTTTCTCAGGAGGTTGATGAGGAGGCAAGTGGCTGTTAATGAAAGATTTCCTAATCATGGTCATTGATTGATAACTTTTAAAAAAATTTTCCTCTTACCATCATGAAAGGTATTTTCACATCAGAAATAACCACAGTAAGCTTGTTGTTATTACATTTTATTCATCTCTCTGTTACAAAATATTCGAATCATCCACAAATTCAATGTGATAATTTTCTTAACTATCAATAAACTTCATTGTTTGATTCTATAAGGTCCGATATCTGATTTTATTTTTCAAGGACTATATAGCATTTCTTCTCGTGGAAGTACAGCCAAACATACCAGCCAAACTAAAACAGCGATTAAAATTTTCATCAAAAAATACATTTTTTTTAAGAGAGATCAACTTTTTGACAGCCAATTATCATTACTCGTTTAATCACAATTTTGAGTTTAGTTCTGTGAAATTAACCTCAAAGCTTCTTTACGTGGTGGATTTCTTTGAATCCTTCCACAGTGACAGAAGTTTACTTTCTTAATTACTATTATTAACAAATATTCTTATTAGTGAATGACATTAATTGAAATTAAGTTCTTCCTAGTGCTTTCAGAATTTAAAATCTTAACTTTTCATGTTTCTTTACTGTTTTCTTTAAGTCTGTTTTCATTTGTTTGTGTCCATTGATTTAATTGTTGCTTCTCAGCTCTGCCTCACCACTGGCCGAGTGGTTAAGGCCATTAAAATTTGTAGTTTGACCCAGGCAAACAATTGACTATATGGCTTTTGTGTTTTTTCCCATATGCAATGTGAATACAAGCCAATTTCTTTTAGGAAGTCGTCTATGTGCATCCCTTTCTTTAGGCAGATAGCCTTTGTGTCCTTTGCCATATTCAAATAATCAAATCTACCTTTGCAAAAATATTTTGCTCTTGAAGGAAAGGAAACTTTATCTGATCACCCTTGAAATTTATAGAATTTTATTCAAAATCTGTGCTAATCTAATGTTGTTTTTTGCCTAAGTTTTATTTTATATTGTTGTTTAGTAGTTGAAGCGGTATGCAGTGGACTTAAGGTGTGCTCACTCTTCCTACTTTGTCTGTGCTAATTGAGCAGCTAATTTCTAATGTTGTACATAAAATAAATAATTAAATATTTAATATGGCCTAGTTTTGTTAGTATTCTTTTGAACCAGTGCCAGTAAACTTTTTCTTATTTATGGATTTTGAGATTAATGGATTCAGACTCCTTGTCTAGTTCCATATGCTTTAAATCCTTGTATTCTTGCATGAATTCCAAGTACTGTTCGTTGTAAGTTCAAATCCTTACCCATTGCCTGCCAGATTTGATTCTTTTCTCTGCTAGTCCTTCATTGGCATGCATACTGACTTTCAGAGGTTCGATAATGAGTCTCATTAAAATGTTTTTTGCAATACTTCCTTCAGTACTAAGTGTTGAATCCATAAAATTAGCATTGTCTACCTCCCAGAATTTTTGCAGTGTTTCTTCAATTTTTTTCATTTTGTATAAACAGACCACAATATTGTGATTCACATGGTGAATTACGCACACCACCACTAGCTACAAATTCAAAAGCCGTTTCCTAGACCAATAAGTCTTCTGACGTGCTATGAACTTGATCCGATTTTAATAAGTCAAAGAAACATTCTGCACCCAGTAATAAAATGATTGTCTTAAGTGTGTTAAATCTGTTATCAGCTAAGGAAATAAATAACCTTGGGGATGTCAATATTTTCTATGTGTATGGGGGTAAGGGGAGTCATTCCTGAAATTTTTGAACGATAAAAAAATCAAGATTTTTAGAAAAAAGTTTTCTCCTTACTTTCAATTGAGGTCCTCATTTTGTAATTTAAAATAATATCAGTTCCATTTAGTTCTGAAATCAGAACAAAAACCTTTGCTTTTCTAAACTCTAATTGTTTTGCAAAGAGAGTCAGTCAACACACAGTTAATTTGCGAGCAGCTGTCAAGGAGAGCCTTTTCTTTGATTAATGTCCCTTTTGAAGTTTTATTGCAGATGGTAAGATAACATATTTATTCGTATCTAATAAACAATTAAAAAGTCTAGTTGCCTTTCCATTAGGTGCCAGAGGAATATTCTTCCCGTCAACTGGCTTCTTCTCATCTGCAAGTGGTTATTTGAAGCAGAGTTCAATTCCTTATAAAGCAATGTATGCTCTGAATGATAAATATTAAAAAATAATTCAATCTACTTTGTGAGGCAACACGCTTTATTTCCAAACAGTTCAGACATATGTTATTCCATTTAAGTAATGTAAATTTTCGTCAAAATTCATATCGAGGAAGGTATTGCATTTAAAAAGAGAATGTGGTGAATTGCATATTCTGTATTATGTTGAATGAACAAGAAAGTTTTTTTTTTTTTGGATACTTTGCAGTATTTGACTTTTTTCTAAGAATTTCATCATGTTATCAAAATTAGGAACATTTGAAGTGTTTACAGATAGTTCATATTGTTTTCGAATTTCCTTGTCGATTTCTTCCAGAATAATAGTAGCAATTAAAATGTTAAAGAATTTGTTTTGTTTGAAACCCAAATGATCTAAAACTCTGATGTTTTTATTCACAGCATCTACTAGATACCTTAATTCTTTTGACGACTCATGAATAATTTTTTTGAGTTCCAAGGAAGTTTTAATGTGAATATTAACAAGAATTCTCTTGTTTTCAAAGTGATTTTTTTAAAGCCCTAAATAATGATTCAAAAGTATCTTCCTGAGTTTGTAATAATTTTGTTTCTTCCTTAAGGGTGGCTTGTGGGTAATGCAGTTTTTGTGCATCCTTCAGTTGAGTATTTGAGGAAACAATATTGTTAGATTCAATTTTAAACATGTTCCACTCTTCATACCTTCCACTAAATTGAGAAAGTGGAATTTCAGGTAACTTTCTTTACAACTTTTGTTTGTAATATCAACTTTATTGATACTAAAAACATTATCATTTAACATTTGATTGAAATTTACCTTTAGCTCATTGATTCTTGGTTCTAGATCTAATAATTCCTCTTCCATTTCAGAAGTGAGATCTTTTTCAGGAACGGTAATATAATGTTCCGTTTGAAGGGTATCCACTGCAATTGATATTTTTTCCAAGGCTTTGATCTTTGCATCTATTTTGATTTTAGTCTATATGTTTGAATTACCCACTATGACTGTCTTTATTACGTTTAACTGGGCTTTTAGTGAGCCCTTCTTTCAATTTAATGCAACTATAGTCGCTATTTTATACTAATACAAACTTATTAATTAACAAAAACAAAACTAACTCTGAATAGACCAACTGCTTTGTTTGATATAAGCATGAGCAATGATGGTGCTGGTTTGAAATAGTGCTAACTGAGATAGACCACATAATGTATTTAATTATTTACATAAAGTACAACATTACAAGTTAGGTGCTGTATTAGCACAGGCAAGGTGGGACAAACAGATATACCATAGGTTTGTTGCATACTGCTTTAACTACTAATTGAACTAAATTTGTATCTTTTTCACAAGAGGGTGCTGAACCTGGAGATTGCTACATTAAACCAAACAGACTGTTTCTGTAACGAAGCATAAAACGTAAAGGGAAACATCAGAAGTGCATAACATGAAACAACAAAATTTAAAAAGAAAAATAAAGCTGAGAGCAAACTGTCAAAAGAAACAGAGTTTTTATAGGAAGTGAAGCACAGAAGTCAAGCTGCTCTTGAAGAAATCTATAAAGATGAGGAACTTTTGCTCAAAACAAAGCATGCTTAGTTGATGGGGATTAGAAGCGATGATGATAAAAAATATATGTACACTAATTTTTAATACTTTAATATTCAATTCTTGCTTTGATAAAATATATGTCAGTTACAATATGAAAATACAGTTGATGCTAATTATGAGAACTGCTTTTTATAGCAGCAGTTTCTTGAGAAGGGCAAGTGTAAAACATCCATAACCAATAAGAGTATATTAAATCCACAGACCATTCATTATAAGATTCTCTTCTTTAAGACATTATGAAGCAGTGTATGATGCTCTGAATGGCAAATATTAAAAAAATAATTCAATAAAGGTCATTTTAGAAAGCTTCAACTGTAGTAAGTTTTTCTCTTTCTTTTTTTAACTTTGAAATGTAATTTTTCGGGAGGTGGGATGAATTTTCAAAACACTTCATCTAATGATTATATTATAAGAAGCTACCTATAAATTTATTTTATGCATTTTTAATATAAAATTTGCTATGTATATATATATGAATTAAAATATTTGTTCAAGCAGAGCCATCTAGTGAGTATGTCATTAGTGTCAGAGCTCACAACCATGTTGGAGAGGGAGTGCCAGCATATGAAACTGTGAAAACACATATTGAAATAAGTAAGATTTTATTTCTTGTTAATTCACAGTTCTTTTCTTGCATTACGTGTTATCTTTTTGTCTTGTATTAGATTTTTGGTTATTAATAGTATTTAATATAAAATACTACTAAAACTTTTTGTACTTTCCCTTTTGATCAATGCAGATATGTTAAATTAATGACTATTAGTGATCTTATTACTTGCAATTGTGTGTGAAGAATTATTAAAATAAATTAGAATTGTTAATTCTTTAGCTATCTTTCTTAAATATATCATAATATGTTAGTAAATTCTTTGAAAATTGCAAAGGAAGTTGAATCTATTAGATGTTTGTAAAAGATTTGAGTGCAAGTAAGTAAAAGTCATTGTGAATTCACTTTTCTAGTGCTTTGTAATTATAAGAAGATATATGCTGACAATCTTAAAATTTATTTGCAGCGTTTTAAGTAACATACATAACTTTATTTGTATTGTAACTAAAAAGAAATTAAATAAATTAAATCTGTATTAAAGGCTTTTTTTTTTTTTTTTTTTTGTTTTTTTTAATCCCCCCCCCCGCACACACACACAAAAAAAGACTGTTTTGGAAAGAAAGTGGGTCATGCCTGAAGATACAGTATTGTGCCCATTGATCACTGCAAGATGTTATCTCAAAGGCAAGTTTTAAATTTATGCCAAAATGGCAAAATTCACATTTTTGGTAATCCATGTTTAGGAAGATCAAATTTGGAAATATAAGATTCCTCCCTTAGAAGAAAAAGAACTTAATGATTATCCTGTGTTCTGTAGATTAAGATACATCTGAATTACTCATCACTCAAACAAATGATACTGCAATTAAGAGTTCCTGCTGCTGTCTAGAGAACATATTACTGTAGGAATAGCTAAGATTAGTAATCTACTGGAGGAATACCAGTGAAAAATCCAGTGCCATAATAAATACACTCATGCTGTTTATTTAACCCGTTACCGTCCAATGATCTATTTATACATCATCTATTTTCAGAGCGACCATTGAGAAAAATTTCTTTTAATCACTTCTTTTTGCCACTGGCTGATTTACTCACACATGTGGCCATATCACCAAAGGTGTTTTAAAACATTCTTTTCCAGAACAGTCTAGCAGATAATGTCGGAAGTTAGCCAAGTGATGCTTCATAGTGCAGCTTTCGATTTTGTATCCAACGGGAAAAATTTTTAAAATAAGTCATGCTTTTCTTATGTGTTCTACATTTTCAATACCTCTTTAACTGTTCTGCATTATTTAGATTAGAAAAATAACTGTCCTAACAATTAAAATTTTGGCTTAAACATGCTGATCTATAAATAGGTTGCTGAGCGTTAGTGGTAAATAATACGTTTTTTTTTCTCTTTTCATTTTTTCCAAAATGGCGAGGTGTAGTGTTTCACACTGCCAAAGAAGCATTAGACTATATTTTTCTAAGAAGATTGAGTCAGATAAAATCGCTTTACCACCTGAGGTGGATGAGTTAACTGACGAAGAGGGCTTGGATGATGGTAAAATGATCATTCCATCTTTCAAAGCATGAATGATTTTGGACCTAACATTACGGAGCAACTGCATCTACATCTAGAGCCAGTAATGAAAATGAAAATAAAAAGGAATTAGTTCGGAATTATCAAAGAAAATGTAGCCAAAAGCAAATTGGACAAAAAACAACCCTACTTATGCTTTTAACAAAGAAGGTATTTTGTCTGGTGAAAATTTAGAAAGTATTTCAAATATTTTAGAAAATATGACTTAATCAGTTAAAAATAGATGTGTTTTGTGCATCTTATAAACTGAAGATCATATTACATAACTGGACTTACAATTACTACATAACTGGACTAACAATTACACCTTATTTTATTGCTGTCTTTCATATATTTAATATATCATTCAAATTAGCTACAACATATTTTCCCATTTCAGGCAATTTCCCGCCTTTTGTCTTCAGAAATCAGTATCCAAATTCAAAAATCCTCTTGAAATATTTGAAGAATTTTTGACTCCTGAATTTTATGACTGTATAATAAATGAAACAGAAAAATATGTGAAAGCGTGAAAAAATAAGCCAGAGTTTTCAGTTACTGTTGATGAGTTGAAGAGTTTTATTGATTTTTTGATTTTCTCTGGCTACCATATTTTACATAATAAACGTGATTACTGGTCAGAGGAAGAGCTCATGGTTAGTAAAATGTGCAATGTCTCTAAATAAATATTTAGAGATTAAATTTGTAATCCATTTTTACAATGATGATTATCCAGCAATGCCAAAATAAGAAAATTAATCACGCATATAAATCACAGTTTGCAGAAATTTGGAATCAATAAATTTCTGTCTGTTGATGAAATGATGATTAGATATTACGGTCATCATTTTTTCAAATTTCTTAAAGGCAAACCTATACGGTTTTGCTATAAATCATAGACCGTGTGTGGAGTAAAGCTACTATTATAATTTTGACTTATACTGTGGTGCGGAGAATTTTGACAATATTCCTGAAACTTCGAATGAACCGCTTGGAACACGAGTGGTTAAAAAAAGTATAACAGACATATCATGGTTGCATACCTCAAACTGGGAACAAATTCGAAGAAAAGCATTGGAAGACGTTTGGTGATGTCATCGAGACCAAAGTGGTAGGCTCTCTGTGTTTAGATAGAAAGAAAAAAAAGCATGTTGCAGGTAAAAGATGAAACCAAAGACGCCAATTTAAAAAATGTAAGGGAAGTCTTTTTGCATTTTGTACAAAATGCGATGTAGCACTTTGTGTGAAATGTTTTCCGCTTTATCACACTTAAATATTACAAATTTGCTCAATACATATATAATTGAGGAAGTTTAGATCAGCAAAATAAGATTTTTTCTTTTAAATATTTTTAAATCTGCAAAAATTTCACATTTTTAAAAATAAATTCTTAATTTTTAGACATAAGATCAGAGGGCAGTTATTTGCTCTTTTATTAGCAGAAGCACTCAGCAATCTATTTATAGATCACCTATTATCTGAACTGCTAATTACGGTAATGGAATAAAAACTTCATAATTACTTTATTTATGATATATAAAATGTAATTTAAAAACATTTTTCAAAAATTCTCATTTTAAAATAATTTGGGCATTAATGGGTTAAGCAATTATTATTATAGCTCACCATTTCTTTTTCAGCACAGGTTTCTTGCATGGTCTTAACAGTCTTTTGAGAAATATTTTGCTGATTTTTAAAAAGATGCATTATAGCGTAAAATGAAATATGTATTATTGTGAAATTACAAATACAATTGTAGTAGTATAATGGAATTTACTAAAGTTCATGCACTGATTTCTGAAGACAAAAGGCATTTTCCTTGGGACATAAATAAAATTTCAGAAAAATAAATGTACATGTGCTTTTAAAATGAAAATTGAGAGTCTTATAATAAAGGCAGAAACATGTAAATAGGTATGGGAAGTTGCCTAAATGGGAAAATACGTTGTAGCTAATTTGAATGATATATTAAATATATGAAAGAAAGACAGCAATAAAATAAGGGGCAATTGCTTAAGTCCAGTTATGTAATATGATCTTCAGTTTATAAGATGCACAGAACACATCTATTTATAAGTTGATTTTCAGTAAATAAAATTTTTCAACACAAGTTTATAATTTTTTAATAATGTGATACTTCTTTGCAATAATTTAGGGCTTTCTCAAGTCAGAAATATAATATGGTTTAACTCTCTGAATAGCATGACCACCTTTATCTGACCATAAGAGTTTTTGTCACTTTGTATATACCAGAGTTGGCCAAACTTCATGTCAGTAAGAGCAGCACATTTGAATTCAGGAATGTTCGAGAGCCGCATCTAGATTTTCTGAAAGCCACAAGTTCATATTTACATCATTATGCAAGTAGTGAAGTAGGTTTTAAATAGAAAGAAATCCCTGATAACTTTGTAAAAAGAGTCTAAACTAATTAATTACTTCTTTTTGGACACTGAATAGTTTTATTTTACCATATTTCATACATATATTTTATATGCATGAAACGCACAAATTGGCTGTGAGAGGCGTATCAGGCTCACGAGCCTCACTTTTGCCACCCCTGGTATGCACAGTACAAAGTCCGAGATCCAGACTCGTTGAGACTTCTGCGATTCCAGATTTGGGATTACTCCGGCTATTAGATCATCAGTTTAAATCTAGTAAGATGGCATATAGAAATTATAAAATTAAAAATATGAGATTGTGATTTATGATCTGAAGGGTATCAAAATTTACAAAAGCTTAATATTTATTTTTTTACTTTAAACATTTCTTTCACTATAAGTTGTTTTAAGTTGCTGCATTGTTTGTGTTAAAAATTTCTCTTTAATTCTGTAGACAGACATAATTTCTTGTTCAGTTACATAGTTGAAGTCCTGTAACTGGTGTGTCAAGAATTCTGACTAATTTGTCAATTGAAATTTTTTCATTTTCAGTAACCTGTCTGTCTCTTTCTTCACGATCGGTAGCATTATTTTCTGGATCTAGAACCAGATTTGGCCATCCATTAATTGATTGATGATTGACGAGCATTGTCTTTGCAATGAAAAACTTCTTTTATATCATCTTCAATTACCTCTTCTCCACATTTCCTTACAAAATCCATTAACTGGAAAATTTCACCTTTGGTTTGCGATATTCAAAAACCTTTAAAATTCGCAGTTACCTTCATAAAATTCAGCTATTGGTTACTATGCATATTTGGCTATGTATCATGAGATTGACGACTAAAGACAAGTTGTTCTGCTAAATTTTATCTTGTTTCTATTGCACACTGAGACAGTTATGCCTGAATTATGTTAGTTTAATTATTTATTTTACTTCTGTTTATTTCTTGCACATGCTTAAGGCTTATCTAAGTCCTGAATAAATAAATTCCTACATATACTTAAGGCTTATTGAGGGGGTGGCGTGCTAGATATCATACTGCCTGATGCAGTCTCTACGGGCCCTAAATTCTGCTACCAAATGTCTTTCTTTGTCTTCCTTAAATTCTGCCACCCGTTGTGGCCATACCCTAGCTCTGCTTCTGTGTTTATATGAATAACAAATCACTTATTCTTAATTCAAAGAGCACTAAATTTAATATTTTGGCCTATGAATATCATTAACAAAATCTATTTTTAGCATATAGAAAGAAATATTTCCTTGTCAACATTTCTTAGTACATTTAACTTAAATCTGTAATTATAGCGAAGCAAACATAAAAGGTTACCATACTTTTCATTATTCAATTACTAACATAAAGAAAACTGTTTAGGCATCGCTATATGAGTCATTACTCAAGTTTTCATGTGTTGATAAACATGCAGTGATGAAAGCAAAATATAATAAATAATGATTCGCCAGGTTAGTGTCTGGGATACATACAAATTATTAGTAGGTGTAAATTCAATGATGCATATATGTAAAATGGTTTGGTTTCAGATGTAAGCCAAGCAGGCAATTTTGCAGCTACAGAGCCAAATTATTGATGGTACAAATTTATGCCAAAATGATTGTTTCTTCAATAACAAGGTATTTAATTTAGTGCAGAAGTGAAATTAAGAAATGCAATTCTCCGCATGTTTTATTATGCACAGGGGGGGTGATAAAATGTACATGCGTAAAGCAAACAAAAAAAGTCGTTCGTGGCTTTGAGGTCCGAATTTTAGATCATTCTGGATATTGGACACTCGGATCTTGAGCTTTATACTGTAATAGCTTATAATTTAAAATAATATGTTGCTTTCATACTTTTTTTTAATGATAAAAATGTCATCTTGATGAATGAAAGTTTATGAAAACAGAGACTTAAGTAATTAATTATACAATTTAACAAATAAATTATGTTTAAATGCAGGTATTAATGATCAAATTCTAAAAGCTTGAGTTTAAAATTATTGCATTATGTAGTCAACTTTGGCTTTTTATGGATGTGTAATTTAACCGCGAGTGTGTACCTTCCCTTAAAAATATCTTATCAATATAATATTATATGCAAAAATAGAAAATATTTGTTAAAGCACTGTCAGTATTTCAGCAACCTGGAATTTATCTTAGCTAGATGTAATGATGTTAAATAAACCAAAAATTAAATTAGTTTAACCTTTATTAAAATGTAGGTTGTTTTTCATTTTTCATGTATTTTGCAGCTCCTGAGCCTTCTGCAGCAATGCTTCCACCTGTGGGACTGAAAGCTATAGTTTTGTCATCTTCTACTGTTGTTTTATATTGGACAGACACAACTTTATCCAGAAACCAGCTGGTTACTGACAATAGATATTACGTTGTTAGATATGCTCCTTACACATATTCTTCTATGCCAAGATATCATACCCGTAATTTCACAGACTTAAACTGTATGCTTGATGATCTCTTTCCAAATACTCAGTATGAATTTGCAGTTAAAGTAATCAAAGGACGAAGAGAAAGTACATGGAGTATGAGTGTCATAAATACTACTCAAGAAGCTGGTAATTTTGTTTCCTTTTTTCTCCCTGTAATTTGAATTATGTGCAAATGTTCATGAGGATTTAATGTGGGATAAAGTACGCCCATTATACAGATGCTTTACTCACAATACAGATGCTTTACTTATTTTAATTTCGATTAAGGCATTAAAGTAATCAGTGATTTTCATGTGCCCTTTATCTTCAATTAAATAGCATTCATTTCTTTATAATGTTTATTGTTCACTGCTGTTAATGTAATTTACGTACCAAATGAGTGCTGGTTGCTTGCTGATTTTAAGAGCCTTAGAGAGACAGTGCTTTGTATAATGAATAACTTGCATAATGACTGCACATCATAACAAACCTATACATGTATCGAAAAATGTCTCATTCAGTAAACCCAGGCCAGGATTACAAAGTGCATGAAGATTTCATCACACATTAAAGCTGGGTTGAATTTGTTTTCCTTTGCTTTGTTAACCCCTTCGCGCCGGGGCGCAAACGCGCGCTTATCGCGGAGGCCGGCAGTGTCTTACGTGAGCGTCCGTCCAGGGGTGGGGGCTTTTTTGCTATTAAACCTAAATCCATGAAATTTCCGAAGTATCAACACATTGTTTAATAATGCTCTATAGAGTATTTAAACGGCTTATGCTTTATAGATATTTTTATATATACTTTAATTACCTTATTTCTTGTTTAAATGCATATTTTACACATTTTATTTTCATTACTCACCATTTTATGACTTTTAACATTATACATCTGAAAACTAAATGTATTACTCAAAGTTCTCTTTTCGTATGAAAAATTTGAAAACAGGGATCTACACACAGTCCTACGTTACATTCCTTGCACTCGTAATAACTCATTTGCCGTTTTGGAGGATTTTTCCGGGAATGTGAATAAACGAAGCATCGTCGTCTCATTTTCTTATCAGTCTCTTCTGAACAAAGTTTTGGAAAATGTCTTTCAGTTAATCTGAGCGGATTTAATGATTCTGCTGATCTTGGTGTGATATTAACATTGGTGCTTTTAGAGGAATACCGATTAAATATTTTGCATCATTTCTGCTATTTCATGCTCTGTTAAACATTTTCGACACTTCGACATTGCAATGGTAAAAACAGAAAGAATTTGCGTCTAACAAGATCTAATTATTTTCTAAAAACTGAACTGCAAACCGAAATACCCAACGCTTTAGCGAAAATAAAACTTCTCTACTTACAATAAACAACTACTACGTGCGAATTTAAAGAGACATCATAAATCATGCCACTCAGAAACATTTATTTCCCCTTTTGTTTATATAATCAAAAACACGTGTATATGAGTCATACTTCTCTCATTTCAAGTAGAAGGTCTAATGTACATGTATCTGAAACCATATGGACATACAGTGCCATCTTGTGGCAGAAATTCTAGTTTTTAAAATGTTCCAGGACACTGGCACAAGTACGTGACAGTTAGGGCTGAACGGGAAAACGCTCTGGCACGCCTGCGTGTCGGCCGGGAAGTGAGTGTGTTTGTTGCTGGCACGTAGACGTGACAGTCGGCGCGAAGGGGTTAAATATGAAAAATGCGCATATGCCTAAATTGAGAAAAATAGAAGAAAAAACAATTAAACATATTTAATATTATGTCACCATTTAAGAAAATCCAGCGGAAAGTTTGTTATGGTCAAGAGGCGGTTGCAGTAGTGCTTACTATAATCATCCAATTTTTTTCTGAAGAAATGTGAAGAGGTCTAGGCCTGAGCCAAGTAGTGACATTCCATTGAACAAACAAACAAACAAACAAACAAAAAAAAAAAAAAAATGTGGTTGATTTGTTGAATGATCATGTCATATAGTATTTCAAGATCTTTCTGAAGCTGAAGAGGGGGGGGGACACTTCAAATAATTTTTTTTAAGCCAGACTGCTCCCCCCACCCACATTAAAAAAAAAAAAAAAAAAAAAAAAAAAAAAAAAAACATTTTAGAGGTAGATATACAAGATCAAGCTAAATGTTCAGTCAGCTGAGTCATCTATGTTCAGTTCATCATAAGACTGCACAGATTCAAACTGTTGCGGTTTTCTCTTCTGACACCAGTTCATATGGGGTTCATGAGGATTTGAAGTGAATAATGACAATACTACCTGATGAAGCATTGAAACACACTTTATTGACCAGTATTGTCAGGACAGCTCCAAAACACATTTTGACAGTTGTCGATGAACTACTATAAACATGCTGACACGATCAGCGACACAGCTTCCAGGATTAGGGTATCACGGTGGAAACAGCTTCATGGCAAAGCCCTAGAGTACAGCTCCCGACTCTGCTTTATCGTTCTCAGAACTCCACGTACTCGAGCACAGCTCCCGACTCTTCGGTTCAGTCGTTCCAGGAGCTCAACACGCTCTCTCGACGGTGCACTAGCCGCGATACACTACGAGACTTTCAGTGCACTCAACGACCCACTCGGCACTCACTGCCCGGCTGTCAACCTGGTTGACTCGCTAGACGAGACTCCAACTTGATACTAACTAACTCTCCGCGTACCAGCAGGGTTTATATAGCTTTCGGCTTGTGTTCAAGCACATTCTGGCCTAAACCGGTCAGAATTCATTCCAGAAATTCTCCATCCGTCCATGGCATATCGCCAATTTTGTCTCCAAATGGTTGATTTCTCACCAAATGTGGCAACCCTGCCTTCCCTTACCATTTTATGGCAACCCTAAAACTGCTTTGCGGGGAAGCTATCTCACTGCGCCTGTGCATTTCATAACACTGCCCCCTCCCAAAGACTGCACATCCCGAGCAGTACAATCCTTGGTCAGAAGCCAAATTCAGTACAAACAAAACGTTATAAAACATAACTAAAAAAACAAATATTTACACTATGTACAAGTTATATACATAAATTAAACACATAACAGTTTTAAATTTCTACCAAAATTAAAGTTCAGAATGAATTTCAGTCTCACTCTTTTCATTAATTTATACCCCGGGTCAAATACTTTTCCACTGCAGTTCTCAGATGCATTTCTGTTTTGCATATGACAATCTGAAGATATAGTCCTTTCAGACTTGTCATCTACAGGAAGATGAAACAGTTTGTTCACCACTCTGTAGTTCATTCGCAGCATGCATACATTTTTGTGATTTAGGATAAAAAATGCTTAAAATATGCTACCATAAAAAATTAAAGGAACAAGTATAAAAATTCATGTAAATTCAATAATTTTGCAGCTAAGAACATGAAACTTGCACAACATTTTATTTTATTATGCCTAATATATCTTCAGACTGCAGAATTTGCCATTTCATACCAAAAATAAATTTAAATAAGAAAATAGGAAATTTATTGTAAAGTAGAATAGGAAAAAAAATGGTGTCATAACTTTTTACACATGCATAAAAGAAATTGATAAGATGTGTGGTCACTCCTGACTGAAATACAAGCTTTACTGCAATATTTTTTATGCTGTGTATTAGGTTATCCAGAAGTTCAATGCAGTAACAATGTGTATTCATGATGAGCCTTGAAGCTTCTGGAGAATGCTAGGTAAGGTCTGCACTGATGCAAGTCAGCATCCTAGTGTGACCTACATAGGTTCTCTTACATTCAAGTTTGGAGGATATGGCAGCCACCGAATACCTTAATCTACTGGATAACTTAATTGTCAAGATAATGGATCACTTGTGCCCGAGATATGAGATAGGGAAAAGTATTATCTTCAGTTAGGATGAAGTTGTTACTGATTGCATCCTTTAACAACTTAGGGCAAGGATCAAGAGCCTCATTTCTGAATATTTCAGCATTTATAGTTGCATTATTAAAACTGTGTAGTAATTAATTCAAAATAATGCTTTCCCATACCTTTAAAGCTGAGTAATTCATTCAAAATAATGCTTTCCCATATCTTTAAAGCTGAGTAAAAATATGACTTCAGTCATAAGTCTCTTGCTAAAACAAGCAAAAGAGAAAATGTAATTAATAAATACTCTACTTAGTCAGAATTTGCAGAGTGATCACAAATTCTGTTATTAATGCATTTAAAGTTGTGGTAAACGTTAGCATCTCTGTCTTATTTTTCCCTCCAAAATGTGCATCCACCATTCAGCCAATGGATATCACAGTACTGTATATGCTGAAATGCAGATATAAAGTAGCCTTTGTAAAATCTGTGTTAAATTTTCTAAACAGTTGCAAGACCAGTTAAGATTTTTTAAATATTTTAACGTAAAATCTGCTGTGTGGAGCAAGGGCATGTGTGCAGATATTTAAAAAATTGGTAGGTATAATTTATGGCCATCTACAATATTTCAAGGCGATAATGATGTTTGCCAGGCATTTGAAGGTTTTTGGATATTATAAACAAAAGACAATGTTTCAGTTTATGTAATTTGTGGGGAAAGTGATAAAACTTGAAGGTGATGTAACAGAAGTTTTCCATTGCAATGGCAATCTCCAGTCATCAATCGGCTAACAAATGGCAAAACTTGTAGTATCCAAAACATACTGCTACTGATAGTGAAGATGTTGTTGAGAGTAAAGAGATTTTGATTGACCATTTAGTGGGAAATCTTGACATGGCAATTACAGGAATTACACAATAGAACTATTGCTTTTGAAATAGATGCCATTTTGGGGTTGCTGCAGATAAAACGATGATAGCTTGGCTCGATGATTTTAACATTTTTATTTAACACTAGAAAAAGATATATACTTCAGCACACATCCACTTATACACAGTCACATTGAATGCAGTTCACACAATAAGCATTTTTACAGGTAGCAAGTCCATGCAGGTAAAAATTATGAAAGTCACATAACAGCTACGAAGACATCACGAAGCGGAAGAGAGGTGAACGTGTGCTTCATCGACGGCAGCCAGGAACAGAGTAACCAGTCTGAATTTTCCCCTAGTGGAGAAGAGGGAGAAAGCTGGTAGTGCCCTCTCTTGGGCCAGTGAGCAAATAATAATAATAAAGAGTTCTCCACAGTATCCTCCCCTCGAGTACCAAAGATATGATC